GTTGTATCTCTCTCTCCCCCCGTATATTTGTACATCTTGGGAGACAAGTAGAGGCCGGTCCACCTTGTACCTATCTATGTGCACCATGCACACGATCAATGATTATCGATTTGTGCAATCTCATTCTTCCTAACTAAGAGCATCTCCAGCCGCGCCCCCAACAAGGCCCCCCAGGCGATTTTTCGGCCGCCGGCGCCAAAAAATCGGCCCAGTCGCGCCCCAAGGGCCCCGTTTTCGCCGGCTCGGGCCGAAATTGGCGCCGGCGGACCCAACCTAAACCCGGCGCGCTGGGGGGCGCTCGGGGGCGCCGGGCGAATCGTTTTTGGCGCGAAAGAGCCGTGGGCCCTCCTTGCCAGCGACTCGCCTTTCTTCTCGACGCTTCGTCGTCCTCATCGCCTCGTTTCCCGCGGCGAATCAATGCCAAAGCTGCGCGCGCTATCGCGCCGGTCAGCCTCCATTGATGCCTCACGGGCGGCGCAGTGAAGGCCGGGCGACGCGCGTCCCCTCGCCCGCCACGCGTAACGCGGCGGCCAAGCGTACGACGCGGCGCCCCCGCCTATATAAGCCGACCCCAGCGCGCCGGAGACACGCACCTCCATCGCCGACGCGCCATTTCTCCCCCTTCCTCTCCTCCTCTCATCGTCTCCAGTTCAAAAGAATGGCCGAGCGCTTCCCAGGCGAAGGCGCGGCGGCGAACGGATTTGGCTGCCGCCATCTTCATGAGGACGAGGCTCGCCTCCTTTTTGAGGCCGAGTACCCGGTCCCGCCGGACATGCGGGTGCCCGGGTCGTGGAGGATCAGCGCCGGCGGCGTGCCGGTGCCACCACCATCCACCGGGGCGGCGCGGCGTGCGGAGATAGCGTGTATCCACGCGTCCCTGCGGCGGGCGACGAAGGAAGGCCCGTGGTACACACCTGACAGCCCGCTCTGGGAGCCCTACTTCCGCCGCCGCCACGCCGAACAGCTCGAGGCGACGAACGGCGTCGAGCCCTCCGGCAGGCTCAACTCCGAGGGGCGGCGCCGGTGGTGGGGCGTGCCCGGCCGCACGCTGGAGGCCGTCCTCAAGTACATCGAGGGAGGCAACACGTCGCGCCTCGAGCACCCCGCTCCCCCGTCCTTCTCTCGCCGACGTGTGAGCTCGTGGACGCCGAGGCGCATGGAGCGGCCCGGGGCGTCCTCCTCGTCTGGCTGCTCGTCCGGCTCTCCCTGCCTCCCCCCCGTCAAGCCGGAACCCCAGGACACGCCTGTCAGCGGGCGCACCCACAGCTCCGGCGTCCGCATCGGTGACTCCACCCCCCCTCTGGCCGCTTCGTCCTCGTCGACCCCAAGCCAGAGCCCGGCCTCCCTGCGGAGTACGAGGAGATAGCCCGGAGCGGCTTCCAACGAGGACGCCCTACAGTGGGCGCGGGACGACTACCTCCGCGACGAGATGGTCGGCAGCACCGGGCCCTGGAGGAGATAGAAGCCCGCAAACGTGGGCGCGAGGACGAGCACGGCGTCGTGATCCTCGACAGCGATGATGACGAGGACGCCCCCGGACCGTCCAACCCGCCGCGCCAACCGGGGGAAGGATGTAGCAGGGACGGCGGCGGCGGAGGCGGCGGCGACGATGACGACGACGATGGCGACTACACGCGGTTCTACAACCTCCTCGGCATGTAGAACTGCAAGGGCGGGTAGCGGGCGGCGAGGAGCGGCAAGGGAGACGGCGAGGAGCAGCCTAGTAGTTTTTTTTGCTTTTTTTGTAAAATATGTTTAAATTTGGACGAACTCGCCGAAGTTTGCGTTGAATTTGCGTCGTGTTTGTGCCGTGTTTAAAATTTTCAAAAATACATGGGCGCCGCGACTGGGGGGCATCACGCCCCAGCGTGCGGTTTAGCGCCGGTGCGCCCCCAGGGGGTGATTTTTAGGGCCTCCTGGGGGCCAACGGCTGGAGATGCTCTAACATGGTATCAGTTTAGCACGCCGATCCCCTTCCCACCTTCCGCACCAAGCCGCCGCCGCACCCTACAGCCGCCGTCGACGCCTCCCTATCGTCGCTGCCACCGCTGTACACCACCGCTGCCGCACCCCTTCCCCTCGCAGCCGCCGCTCTCCCCTCTGCCGCCGCTGCCTCCCGCCTCTAGTCGTCGCCGTGAACCAAAACCCTAACCCTACCCCGCGCCACCGCCACTATCCTCCACCCACCCGAGTCGCCGCACCCTTCCCTTGCCGCTGCTCCCATGGCGTCCACCTCCGGCAGCTCCAACCCGTTCGCCGGACTCGTGCCCGACGCCACCGCCGTCCGCGATCTCGACATCCACACCCGCGTTCCCATCAAGCTCGACCAATCCACCTCCTCGTACTACGCGTGGAAGACCTACTTCAACCTCGTCTTCCGCGAGTACCACCTCCTCGAGCACGTCGATGAGACCGTGGATGGCGACCTCATGGTGGATGACCCGGACTGGGCGGCCATTGAGGCCTCCCTCATCCGGTGGTTCTACCTCACCGTCTCCCCGGACATCTTCCACACAGTCGTCTCAGAGGATGATGACGTGTGTGCCGTGTGGACCAAGATCAACAATCTCTTCACCGACAATAAGCTTCAACGTCTTGTGTTTTTGTAGCAGGAATTTTTCGGGTGCCATCAAGATGGCTCCTCCATCGACGACTACTGCATGCGTCTTAAGCGCCTCGCCGACGAGCTCCACGACATCGGCGCCAAGGTGTCGGACGACCTCATGCTTAGCACCCTCACCGCCGGCCTCAACAAGGATTTAGCCAACGTGGCCTCGAATCTCTCCCTGCTGCCAAACCCGACCTTCTAGTCCGTCGCCGCGTATTTACGCTTGGTGGAACGCCGGATGAAGAAGGTCAAGGCCCGGGTCCATCACACAGCCCTCGTCGTTGGGACGTCTCGCGGGCCGCCGCAGCCTGTTCCTGTTCCGCCCCAACCCCGCCCACCGGTGCCACCAGGGTTCTTCCCCCTCCTGCCCGCTCCGCCCGCACCTCCCGCTCCTCAGCAACAGCAACAGGGCGGGGGCGGCGGTCGCTGCAACCGGCATCGTGGGGGTGGGGGCAGCGGTCGCCCCCAATAGCAGCAGCAGCAGCCGGGGTACGGGGGGCTCCACGCCAACATCAGCCCTCCCCGCCCTGGGCCGTCGGCCCTAACCCATGGACCAGCGTGGTCCACGCTTACCACATGCCGGTTCCATGGGCTCTGGGCATCCTCGGGCCGCACCCGGCTGGCCCTCAGGCGCACCTCACCACTGCTCCTCACCAGGCGGGTGGGGGCGGCTACGCCACGGGTGGCTATGCCCCGGGTGGTTACGCGTCGGGCGGCCATGCCCCGGGTGGCTATGCGCCCCTTCCGGCGGCCGCCTACCTCGGCTACGCGCCGCTGCCTACGCCGGCTCATCTCCCTCCAGCCCCATGGGATCCCGCCCTCCTCGCTGCACTCCACTCAGTGCAGTCTACCTCCAACTACGGAGGTGGCGGTGATTGGTACATGGACACGGGCGCTACCGCACATATGACGTCGCACCTCGGTAACCTTGCCTCTTCCTTCCCGGTCACCACCTCGAACCGCATCACCTTCGGTGATGGTTCCTTCGTACCCATTACTCATGTTGGTCATAGTTTCTTTCCGTCTAATTCTATGCCTATTAACATGTCTAATGTTCTCGTCTCACCTAACCTAGTTAAAAACCTTGTCTCTGTTCGTCGTCTTGCACGTGACAATCCTCTCACCGTTGAATTTGATGGTCTTGGTTTCTCTGTGATGTGACAGCCCCAACGACTTGTACCCGATGCACTCCGCCTCCACCTCCACCGCCACCGCCCCGGTGTCGACCTTTGGCATGCACGCTTGGGTCATCCCAACTCCACCGTCCTTCGCCAGATTCTCAAGAGTTTTTCATTTTCATGTAATAAATTCGACGAGCACACTTGTCATGCTTGCCATCTCGGTAAACATGTTCGTCGACCGTTTAACGAGTCAAACACTATTTCTTCTTTTCTGTTTCAGTTAATCCATAGTGATTTTTGGACATCTCCCGTTGCGAGCAACACGGGCTTCTTATATTATCTTGTTTTACTTGATGATTTCTCTCACTTTGCGTGGATGTTTTCGCTCCGTCACAAGTCCGGTGTTCTTGCCACTCTCACGGCCTTTTACTCCTACATTACCACCCAGTTCGGGCGTCCTATTCTCGCCCTTCAAACTGACAACGGAAAAGAGTTTGACAACGCTGCCACTCGTCACCTTCTCGCATCTCACGGCACTACCTTTCG